TAGGGGAGGTGGGTGTGTGTGTGTGGGGTGTGTGGGGGTGTGTGTATGTGGATGTGTGTGGGTGTGTTTGTGGGTGTGGGTATGGGGGGGTGCGCACAGTGGAGAGCAAATTGGAAAGCAGTTCTATTTATCCTCCTCTCCCCAGTAGAAATAAAACAGATCTTTACATTTGTTACTTTTATTTTTGTCTAGTAGTGCACAGAATTAATGAAAAACGAGTATCTGGATTTCAAATCTGAGCAGATTTTTATCCTTGGAGGTTTGGTTTTCATTTGCTTGGTTAACATTTTTCATACACTTCTCTGGGTTTAAAATGTCTTGAAATATTTTCACCAGCTTCCCGCTGGCATAATGGGCAGCATGACTTTGGTGCGGTTGCCTTAGGTTCACTTACCTAGTCAGACCCAGAAGAACGTCCTTCCTAGATGCCTTTTTCCCTCTCCTTGTGGTCTCCACATGGCCTGGTCAGCCATTGGTAATGCTCTTCCTCATCTTCCGCCTAGCCTCAGAAGGATGTTCTCCATATACAGTTAAGTGAGTGCCTAATCCCTCTTTTTTAAGACTTTGCTCCCTCATCTTGAGGAATAACAGTTCCATCTTCAACTTTTTATTTCACCCTTGATTTTACAGTTTGGTAGATTTCAAACTGGAATAAGCTAGCATGTGCTTGCTAAATAATTTTATGCCAGCCTTATCCTGTATCCTAGCTGTTCTTAATAGCAGGTACAAAAATGCCTCTCTTTTTTTAGCAAGGTTGAAATTGGGAATGTCCTTTTGAATCAGAAAAAAAATAGGCCATAGACTCATCCCCCAGCACAAAAGGGCATTCTATGAAGTGTTACTGGCCTGAGGAGGATTTCTTCACCCACTCTCCTGCTCTGGCCTTGAACCTACCTCTAGATTGGATATTATTATTATAGCTGCTCACAGCATCCTCCTGCATGCTTATTAGAATAATACTTTGGGAAAAACACTGGTAAAACACAGTATTTATTTTTCACCTCCTTTCAGAGGACTTGGAGGTAAGTTGCATTCATTCATTCAAGTTTCCCTCTTGCTGTCTAATGATAAAACCTTGCATTTTGCTATATCAGCATTTGTTATAGCCAATATTTAAGGATAATATTTAGAAAATCTATCATTTCCTGGCCCATCATCAAACTAAGTATGGCTTAACCTTGCAGCATATCAACTTTGTTTCAAGCTAGGTATCTTTATTTGATATCTAAAAGTGCAAGACTAACATATCAAGAGATTTATAAACACAACGGCAAAGCTCTTGTGTTTTGTCATCCAGACACCTCAATTTATTTTATAAATTTGTTCATTTTCCTGTTATGTTTTATATAATATATGGACTTAACTGCAAAATAAAATAACAGTAATAAAATAACAAAAGAGGATATTTCCTCTTGTGCTTCTCTTAATTGTTGTCTGCAGAATTTCCTTCTTTTGTATTTCCCCTCAACTCCCCACCCCCAAATGAATTTCAGCCCAGTCATTATTCAAAATAATGTTTCATCCATTGTTACTCTAAATGGCCTACACAGTCCAGAATTCTATTCCTCTGTCCCCAAGGGACACATTGAGGGGCAGAGAGGGTTAGGGTGGGCATCAAGTGGTTAGGGACATGTAAGAGAGAAGTGGTGTAGCAAAGGAAAAACAGAACCCTCATCTGGAAGATAGGAGACTTGGGTCCTATTCTAGACTCTGGCAATAACTATGTGACTCTGGGCAGGTCACCTAATTACTCTGAAATTCATCATTAGTCAAGAGATGTTTCTCAATGTTTCTTCCACTCCTGCAGTTCTGTGAATCTCATTCCTGAAAATTCTCAAGGTGATTTTACTATCTTTTCAGAGATACCTGTTTTTATCAATATCCATAAAGCCTTTCTGTGATACATTCTTCTTCCTCTTTTTCCCTTTTGATCACATTTTAAGTACCCACCCAGAGGAACTCTGGTCAATATTTCCTTTTATCCTGTTAACAACTCCTAATGGTTGGCCTCTCTTGTGTGCAATAAGCCAATATTCTGTTTTTAAAGGTATTTTCATAACTTCTACTTAACCGGATAAAGCATACTGAGATCCTGACTCAACCCAAAGAAATGTTCCTGCCTTCAGAGTGAGTAGGCATAGGTAAGAGTATGGATGAAACTTTTGTAAATAGTAGTGTACTTAGCATAAATAAGAATTACATAGTTTTTAAAAATAATATGAAATAGTTACTAAATACGTACTTTTTACCAAGGTAATGTATTTATTGCCAAGATAATGATAGAAGCATTTTCTAGGGAAATTTCACCTAAAATTCTTGGGCTAATTCAAGAAATGTCTGCCAACAACAACAACAAAAGTTGATTGATGGTCTTTTGTGGTTAATGCTTTCAGTTTTTGTAAAGTTTCTCATTTATCTATTTTGGGGAAACCCAAAGTAAATAGTTGGGAACTTATATTTGTTTTACCCTTGTTTTTCCTATTAACCATTGGTTTAAGAATACATCAAGCACCTTGATTTGTTAAATAACTAGTGTTTATGGGATTCCATTAAATTAATTTTAATAAGCCTACCAGAATCTTGTGAAAACTCATATTGGGATGTGTTTGGTTTGTTCCTTTGTTTTAATTCTGTGTTTGTCCCCTAAGCATGCAATATATCCATAAATAAAATTCCATGATAAGCCATATAATGGTATAGTAGAAAACGCACAGGTATTTAGATAGCGATCAGTTCCATTATCTACAATGCTGTAACCTTTCCAACAGGACTGTTGCAATGCATAACTCCAGGGACCATCATTCATATTTGTTCCAGGGAGTGTCATGTTTATAGAATACAATGTTAATAATGCCCCTGAAATAGTGCAACAGTGGCCTTGCTCTCTGAGCCTGTTTTCTCCTCTAAAATGATGCCTGAGTTAAACAGGGTTGGGGGGGCGGGTACTGGGTGGAGGGGGTCAATGGGAAAAAAGAGGAAACATCTGTAATACTTTCAATAATAAAGATAAATTAGAAAACAAAACAAACCCTGAAACTCTATACCTATTAACTCCCTATTTCTCCCTCTCCCCAGCCCCCAGCAACCACTATTCTACTTTGTTTCTATGAATTTGACTACTTTAGATGCCTCATAAAAGTAGAATTACACAATATTTGTCTTTTTGTCTGCTCATCCATCCTTGATCTCTTTAGTTCTATATACCAGGCAGTCCATTTGTCTTGGCCCCAAGAACACCATGTTCTTTAAGCCGTCTCCAAAATCCCTGTTAGCCAGACCCTCCTGCCTATCATTCTGACAATAAGCCCAGCCGCTTCTGATGGTTAAATACTACCACTGGTGGATTACTGCCATTGTTATTTAACATTTATGGAGGGATGTGCCTTAGCTTTGCACATCCCTGACATTTTTGCACAAAAATGACAGCTTTCTATTTTATTTACTAGCATTTACTCTTCTCACAGACTAATTTGCATGGGGTTGAGAAAGGACTGGATGGCCAAGTGAAAATACAATGGGTTTGGGAGTTAGACACATACTCAAAACTAGGTTTTGCCACTTCATTCGCTCAATAAACATACATAGAAGCTGCTCACTGTGAGAGAGAGGGAAGTTGGCCCTTAGATGGCAGGCTTCCATTTTGATTAAGGCTTCTATTATTACTAAACACTATATGTTGGATTTTAATACATGTCTTCTTAAATTTTTGCAAAGAATACCAAGTGATAAATCAAAATTCCTTTCTGTAGATAACAAAAAATGTCTGTGAAGTGTGACGTTTTGCTTTTACAAAATGAGTGCAAGAACACGCTTGTATATTCTTTGTGAAATGTCAGGTTATCTTGACCATGACTGAATCCCAGAAGCCAGAATCTAGCCATTGATAAACCTCCCAGTACTCATTTTACCTAATTACACCTTACAGTGGTATTGGGGTATCTTGCCCACCCTCAGCTCCTGAAGCAAATGGGACAGCAAATAGGACAGTGAGATGTTCAGTGTCAATAAAGCTCTCTGCCGTCTGCCAGAAGCACTGCCTGCCTGGACCAGGGGCCCCCCAGCCCTGGCAGTCAGAAAGGATACCTTTATGAATTCTACCTTCCACTTGTACTATTTTGCCTTTTATTCTTTCCCCCAGAGGCTTGAGGGAGGTTGTGGGGTGTTGGCAATAAAGCAGAGCAATGAAACCCTTGGCAGTTGGTTATGAGAGTCATTTCCTTAACCTGATTGCCTGAGCCTAATAAAACAGAACTACATCCCAAGGCATAAGAATGTGAAGTTTTCCACAGCTTTGATTGTGCTCTGTACCCCAGAACATCATCCAATCATGACCTCTAATTTGCTAAACTGCATAGTCACTGTTATGTCTCGGATGACCTTGCTCAATGAATTAGAAGAATTTAATTTGGGCTTATTTAAACTCTCAAGTTTGCATATACTGATCTACAGGCACTTTATAAAGTCCTGTTTTGGAGACAAAATGGGGACATGGCACTGATTGCCCATCTGCACACATGCCCTCATCCACCCTAGCTCCTGCTTTTCTCCCTGGTTCCAGACAGAAGTTCTTGAGAGCCAGGAATTCTGTGGGTGGCAGTGTTAGTTCAAGTGCTCCAGAGAGCAGACACCAAAACAGAGATAAATAAATTCATTGGGGGTA